TTGATAATGTTAGATTAAAATGCAATAAAAATTAAAATTTTAATAAAAAATACTCAGAGCCCCATTTTCCTAGCAAAGCTCCCATATGTTACATTTCTAATGGATTATTAAACGTTGAGATATTCAAGAAAATGTGTTGAAAAATTGATTTTTTAGCTTCAAAGGCTATTATCTCGAGATCTACCAATCAGAAATTCGTAAACTCTGTATTATCATATTTATCGAGATGTATTCATCAAAATAATATATGTTGTATTTTTAACAGATTACTAAACGTTGAGATATTCAAGAAAATATGTTAAAAATGATCATTTTAAGCTTCGTAACCAGCATATTTTTCAAAATTCTAGAATTGTATTTTGCTATCAAATTGAGTTACATAAGATTCCAAATATAAATATATGATTATATAATTCCTAAAAGAAAATTTTGGTTGTCAAAAAATTGGAAAATCACCAAAAATGTATTATACAAAATTTTCAAAATGATAACTCATGTAATATCAATTCACATAAGTCAACTGAGTCAATTCGAGTTGAAATGAGTCAAGTTTATTTATTGACTCAACTCAACTAATAACTTAACTCAAATCAAATGAGTCAGAAAATTTTTGACTCAATTCAACTCAAACTCAAGTTAATCATTTGATTCATAAGTCAACTCGACCCATTAGAAGCTCTAAATATTTTATTATATCTGAAATATAATTTGCCAATTCATTAATGCTACTTAACACTATATATATAATATCTTCTTTGATGATATTTTGTAAAATCTGCCCTAAAATTGCAATATTTCAGCAACGTTTACAATTATTCTTTTGCCGCTATGATTTTTTATATCATTTTTTAAAATCTGTTAATTTTTTTGAAAATTAATTCATATTAAAATACATCATGTTTATCTTTTCAGAAAGATTTTAATAATTGTTATCTAAAATATTATTATATTGAACCTTTTATCTGGCTAGGGTGTGAGTCAGCTTTTCTTGACATTTAAATATAAAAAAAAAGTATAAAAAATTAATAAATCTTAAAAAAAAGATTTAATATGATTAGTAAATATATGAAACACATTTTTTTGATAATTTATTAATTGTCACAAATCTGCAAAATCTGCAAGTTTCTGCTTAAAGTAAGAAATCACTATTCCTATTCTGAATTATATATTTTTAATATAGAAATTTAATACTATTTTATTATAATATGTGCATATGAGTCTGAATTATATATTTTAACACAGGAATTTAATTAAAACTTATGTTGAATTAAATATATTTAATGTTAACATGTTATTATGATTTTGAATTATAATTTTTTAACGCAGAATTTAATACTATTTATGCAATTAAATATTTAAAATTGATATCTTTTAAAAAGCTAAAATATATATAAAATACAAAATATGTACTTATTATTCATTTTCAATAGTGCAATATATACATCACTAATAAAGATGCCTCTCTAAACTATTTTTAGAAAATTTGAGACTATAATTAATATGTTTCAATTAGTTTTAATCTATGTATATTACAACTTATACTATTATAATTAAAAATAGATACCATAATTAAAAAAAATAGCACAATTGAGTTGTAACTTGTGGCGTAATTAAATTTTCTTATAGCGTAATTAAATTGTAACTTAATTGAAATTTGAAAATAATTATGGGGATCATCTTTAGTTATAATATATATTGCAACTAATTTTTAACTTATGTTACAATAATTATAATAAGTTATAAATTTGAAATTAATTGTTGTATCATCTTTAACATTTCATAATAGTGGGTTTTTTACTAGTTAATAAATACTCTATCCTTTAACAAATCCATAATAATTTCTAAAATTAAAAATCTAAAAGTTTATAAAAAATATATAATACTATAAGCAACTTGGTTAAAAAAAAGAAGCTTCAAAAAAATTTAAAAACTTTATATTATGCTATGCTATTAGTGATAATCAAGTTATAACGTATAATATTTAAATAAAAAATTATTATTCTAATAATCATGACTTAACTTCTATTATTTTTATAATTTCTTAATGATCTGTAATTTCTTATATATTTAATTTCTTATTTATTTACTTATATTTCTTATATTTCTTACTTTATTAAATATCTATTTTTTATTGATATATTTTATATAATATTCTATATATTTGCTCTGATAAATCGCAGAATCATTACTAATTTCTAATAAGATAATAACATTTATCTTTAAACTTAATCTTTGCTTTTTAAAATCATTTTTTTTTGAATCTATATCAATAAAAATTATTTAATTTTTATAATTAATTTATATTTATTTCTTTCATAGTTTTAATGTAATTAAACATTCTATTGGCAAATAAATACATTTTGTTAACTTAATACTTTACTGTTTAAGCTTAATAACGTATAATTTAGTTAATTATGATAATATAAAGATACAATATCAAGAATATAATTATTACAAGTTTTCTCGTTTCAGTTTTTTGAATCAAACACACAAACTACACAAACTATAATTATGCATATAGTATATATTCATAGCCTATTAGAGGATTGCAGTTTCTTATTCTATGATGTGTATGATAAGTCTAATACTAAGATAACAATTGTATTGTATTTGATACTTAGTTTAAAAATAATAAATAGTTTTTATTAGTAATATATTAAAATTAATCACAGATATATTAAAATTGTTTTTTTTTAAGCTATACAAATTTATTTGAGATATTCTTAGATTCTAATTTTCTATTTTATTGGCTCTTTCTTAACATTCATTCTATCCTTTAATAGCTTAACAATAATCTCTATCACCCTTTTAACATTTTTACATAATTTAGTTTCATTTTCTTCTTTAATAATAATTTTTGATTTTACTTGTACATGAAATTCATTCTAATATGTAAAAGAGAAAGTATTACACTTTGGTCATGAAGATGATTTCAAAAAGATAGTTATATTCTTTCAAAAGTATTGTTAGCCTTTTATTTTACATGTTATTATAGATAAAATAAATAATAAATAAAAAGAAATTATTTTAGTTTATAATCACATTTGACATATAAAATAATTTTAATTGTACAGTCAGACTTGTCTATAATTACCACTTTTGGTCACATAGTAATTTTTCAAAATAATTGCTTATAAAAAGGTTTTACTATATTGTGATAATATAAAGGTACTTTTTTTTTTTTTTTATTAATAACTGGTTTTAATATAGACGTGATTATAAAAGGTTTCTATATGATGTGATTATAGATAGGGTGATTATAAACCGTATATTTATTTATTTTTTTTTATTTTTTAAAAAATGAATTTACATTAGTTAATGATAATCCTTAATAATTAATTGATTGCATGTTTTTTAAAGTTTCAAAGTATATTAAAATTTAATAAAGCAAAATAAAATTAAGGATCCATTTTTCCAATAAAATTCGTAAAATTAACAGCACAGACTTTTATCAAATATCTCCTTTCGATATTCAGCAATTATACAGATACACAGGAATTCAGGAACCTACCAACAAATAATTTTCAAAAAGTTTGTTTTTATATTACCATGTTGCGTTCGGGAGTTTCATTAAAAGAATACCCCGAGTTCCCATATTATAATTTATTTTTTTTAAAAAAAAGATTAATACTTGCTCGGACCAAGTTCAAAATAAAGGTACAAATTTGGATAAAAGAGGAAAAGGAATTAAAATTTTTAGGAAGTAAACGAATAAAAATCATATAAATGAGAAAAAATTTTGCGGGGGGACTTTTTGACAAAGTCAACTGCTATCCGTTTTAATTTTGAAATAAATTATGCTATTGGTGATATACTTAATTTTCGGATGAAACCTGCCATAATAGTGATATTAAAAGAAAAGTCAAAGATTTGTCACACTCGAAAATTGTCGGGTTATTGAGACAAAATGATTAGGCAAGCGATTAATTAAGCTTAATAATCTTTGTAGAACATTCATCTTTTGTCCTATGATATTCAAAGAAGAACCACTTGTTATTCATAAACGATATAATTTTTTATTTAAATAACTTGTTTTAATCGCCTTTTTTTTTCCTTTAACATATCCATTTCAAAGCATTCAAATTCTGCGAATTTATATGAATATTTAATTTCTTACGCTCTCTTCATTTATAGTAAACACGTTTTCTTGTTCCTTTTTTTCATGCTAAAATGGTTAAAGATCAAGATAAAGATGAGCGAGCAGCATTTAACAGTTTCATATTCAATACGACGAATGAAGTATTGAATTCAATATCAATAGTTTCAGCATGTTTTGTAGTCTGTACGATATCGTATTTAAGGATCAATCGAAAATCGTTGGCAAATCGAGTATCATTCCGTCTACAAGCTTACGTTTCAATGACTGATTTGTTGTTTTCGGCTTTTCAGGTAAAACATGTTCTAATCATTTAAAAAAAATTAAAAAGAAATGTTTTTTATATTTAGATTAAAAATTCTATTTCCCTTTTGTCTTTCCTTTCCTTTTATTTTCAGATTATGATGGTGAATTCTTCTCCACCTGGTAACTGGGTATGTCATGTGGCACCTTGGGGATTTGTTTTCACATCATTGCTCAGCCTTTTCCTAACGGTAGCCTTGACGTTCAATTTACAAATCATCTTTGTACATAATTATATGCATACAAAAAAATTCGAAAAATATTATGTTATGATCCCTTTTTTTTCATCATTTATTTTGAGTATTTTGCCAGTTCTATTTGACGCACTCGGATTTGATGAGAAAGAAATTAGTTGTTGGTATAAACATGGAAATACGACGAATTCAGTTATATGGCAATGGACAACATTACATGGATGGATCATTCTCTCCATAGGTTATTGTATAACATCTGTACTCCTGATTATATATCGACTTCGTACGGTGAATAACCAATCTTATATCTCGAATGACATAATGTCAACCGACACGAATAAACGTTTCTCTCAATCGCGGATTAGACAGCAATTGCTCATCAATCGGGCAGTACAACGAATAGTTTTATATCCTATAATACCCATTATTTGTTTTTCTTTTAATATTATCGCGACTTTAGTATTTTATATCAGACAAGAGAATTATTTTCCAGTGCAAATGGCATCAAATGTTGGAACGAGCTCACAAGGAACTTTAAACGCTTTGGTGTTCTGTTTTGATCCGATCATGAAACACGTGTGGACGGAAATAGCTGAGAAATGGTTTAAAGTTGATGATAAGGTCGTGAAAAAAAGTAATGGAACAGCAGCTGATACGAAAATTGCATCGAATATCAAAAAATTTCTATTTCATTTTACGAATAGAAATGATAATAATAAGAATAGTTCAAGGATTAAGTTATTTAATAATATTAATGCTGATAAAGTAGATGAGGAAGGTGGTGGTGAAAGTGGTGAAGGTGGTGAAGGGGAACCAGAGTCAAGATATGGTTATGACATTGTAACACTTTTGTAAAGATATGTAGCCGACTTAATAACACGAATTTTTCCATTTCTCAACGAAAAAATAAAATAAAGAGCACACATGATAAGTTGCAAATTACTTTTAAGTTATAATTATAAAAATTGTACCATTCAATGTTCTTTCTTTGAAATATTTCATCGGAAGTCGAAAATAGAAACAAATGAACAATAATCCTAAAATTCTCACTTTTTGATGCATCTGATAAAATTTAATTTTATTTGGTATAGTTTACAGCTAAATTTATATCATTCACTTTAAAATTTTTTTTTTATATATTTACCTTTTTACGCTTAAAATATTTTATTTGCGAAACTAGGATTATTATATATAATATATATATCTCTTATCTTTTTTTTTTTTTTTTTACATTAATAACATTAATATCATTAATTGTTGTTGGATAAAAAATAAATAAATATCTTTTCTTATTTTATATATGTCGAAAATTGTTTAAAAAAAAAAAAAATTCGAAAATTTCTCTAATTAATCACGGGTCGCAGGAAAATTTTGTAAAGTTCGTTTATCATGAATGTTTTAAATTCCTTTAAAAAAAAAAAGGAAGTAAATGCAAGAAAAATATATTCCAAAAAACAAAAAAAAAAATAATAATTGAAAATCGTAAGTTAAAGCAAGAATGATTTATCATGATATCTTTCCACCTTCCTCTTGTTATTAAGAATCCTCACTATCGCATTTAGTAACTTTAACGTTTCTGTCTGTTTCTTCTTGATCGGTGCTGTCGACATCTTCGTCGACAGCTTTTCGCTTTCTAATGCTGATGTGTTCGGGCGTAGAAGTGTCTGAAACGTTTGAAGAATCGATTTCAGATGCGGGAGGACAATCTTCGCTTAAATCCAATTCCATATGTTTTACAAATCTTCCAATCCTTGACCAAGGGCAATTTTTCAATGTTTCTGTTTGTCTTTGGTCTCTAACCATAAAACTTCCCCAATGTAACACATAACGGCGTTTTTTTCCTCTTGGGGCTCTCCAACAAAAATCATATTCGCACAACAAACATCTAATTGCAAGGACACGCTTTAATACCAATGGGGGGCATTGACCAGGATATAATGTTGCATATTCGGTGAATTCTCTTTTTCTGGCCAAAGCTCTTACGTTCGCCTCAAAATCTAGTGCTTCCTTGTTATTATGGAATCCTGTAATGGCAAAGACCGGAAACCAAACTTCAGTTTCGAGAGTATTGTGTTTTTTAAGTCGGTCCTGGGTAAAAAAACAAAAGGATAATTCATATTAATTAATATTATAATTATTACATTTTTTTTATTATTTTTTTTATTATTTTATTATATTTTTCGTTTTTTTTTTTTTTTGGTGCGTCCTATTTACCTTAAAATCTCGGGTGGTTCCAACGAAAACCTTTGACTTTTTTTCGTTGTAAATAATGTAGACACTCCAAGTATCCGAAACAGATTCTATCTTTGATTGGTAATTTGATGACCTAGTCATATTTCCTTTAAAAGCAAGGAGGAAATTTATATACTAGCAAAGGAGTTTTGAAAAAAGAAGTGGAAAAAAGAAAGAGCGTATTTAAATTAATAAAAAAAAATAAAAAAAAAATTATTTATATAAAAAAAAAAGGAATAATATGAAATTGGAAGAGTTTGGAGTTACAAAAAAAAAAAAAAAAAAAAAGGATGTTTGATTAAAATACAGTGAAAAGGCTAAGTTTGAGGTCAGTTTATTTTATATTAGTATGCAAAAAGGCTTGCTTATGTGACGTTATTGTTTCATGGGAATTGTGCCACATGCTAAGGCCCCATGTTAGGATGCGGGGCATGCAAAGATCTGAACACCGATGGCCTGATATGGTGAAAATATGGTGAGCGAAAGTTGGTGAAAAAAAGTTTGATTGAAGACGTAAAGGCATGTAAAACTTCATTTTTGGCAATTCAAAAAGAGAAAATGTATTTTTAAAAAGGTTTGATAAAAATTTTCATTAATGATTAATGATAAAGGTTAAAAAAATTCATTTAAAATTGGATTGCAGGATTTCTTTGATAGTATTGGTGGTATTGACTTGAATGTCTGGGCGAAGGGTGAAAGTGGATATTGCATGAATGGTAATGTAAAAAGGGAACAAGGAAATCTAAAAAAGCGTGTAGATCACGAGTTTCAGTTTAGATTTGCCTTCTGTAAATGGGCACGAATTTTGTTTGCTTCATTCATTTGTGTATTTGTGTTGTATTTGGGTTCAATCACCTTTCTTGTTTTTCAATAGATTCGGGGGTTTTGTTGGACAACATTTGCAATTGGAAGAACAGAATTATTTGTAATTTTCGTGAACCCGTTTTTCTTTAGCTGCGCCACTCAAGAGAGACTATCGGCTATTAAACTGTAAAACTACAATCTCGCAATGATTGATGGATTTTATAAAAAAAAAAACAAAATTACATATTTCTTTTAATTCTTTTCATAATGATTAGATTCACAATATGTATTCACGCTTTTATATCATAAATTTTAATAGCGACGAAAAAAAAAAAAATCTCTCTTTATTATCTCCTTATTTTTTTTGATGCAAGAAAATACGTGTCTCAACAAAAGAAAATTGGTCTGATGATCAGTTTATTCTGTAATCCAAATTAATGTATATCACAAATCACCGAATTCTTTTTACATGTGCCTTGAGGCGATACTTTGAGAGAAGTTCATTAAATATCTATTTTCGAATTTTGATATCGAATTTTTTCATGGAAAATGTTCAGTTTGAATAAAATAAAATGCATTTTTAGTTTGAATTTATTAAGATTAAGATTATTTTATTTTGTTTTATTTTATTTAAATTTTTTTTTTTTCAGGTATAATTAATTCTAAGCTCCAATACTTTTCATTCTTATCTTTTATTGTGGTATAGTAACAAAAAAAAAAAATATTTGAATTGATTTCACAAAAATTGTTTTCAATCATTTTCTATCTGTCCTATCTATCTATCTATCAAAACTGATTGTAAAATCGTTTAGAAAGGTTCTTTCGTTCGTTCTCTATGACCTCTATAAAATAAAAAAAAAAGATAATCAAAAAAAAAGTTCACACGATGTTTAAATAAATTTACACTAGAAAAAAAAAGGTTTTGTCACCTCGGACAACATTTCTTAAAAAGTAATCTAGCCAATAAATTTCATCCAACTCGAATTATCACGTGACACCAAAACAATTTCAATAATAATCTACGACCAAATTTGGACATTCATTCGCAAGTTCGGAATAACAAAATTTTCAAACTTGTATTATTATAAACAAACAACAATCCCATAAAAAGATCAAAACAGGTTTGATTGGTGTAATATGCGGTTCGTTGATTAGATTCTATTTTTGAATTCGTTGAACTAACCAAATATATTTTGCACATCTGAAATTTTTGAGCGATTCGATACATTTAACTATATCGGAGTAGTAAGATCGGGATTATATCATAAGCAATAAATGTAATGATTCCCTTTTATTTTTTTTTTCCTATGATAAAACCGTTAAAGCATCATCAATCTTTACTCAACTTATCGCGATAATGTCCTCAAATTTTTTCCAATTAGCCCAAAATATCATCAACGATTTGGTGGATTGCTTACCACCGGATTACGACTCAATAGATGAAGTAGGATCGATTAACATAGAATATTCATGTGATCTACAAAGATTATCCGAGAAAATTTTACAAAGTAATGATAATACATCATATAAGAAAACTTGTAAAGACAATAATCCAAGTGATGAAATTGACGTTGATATTAATAGTCAAAGTAATTCGAACTTTTCCAACGTCTCAAACAATACTTGTCATGACGAATTACGACAAAACACGGAAATTCAACAAATATGCGAAATCAGAATAACTACGCCAGGATGGTTGCGAAATGCCAAAAGTGAATTTCGTGAGACTCAGGACAAAAGAGACGTAATGGGATCACATGTGCTGGCAATTGCAAGAGCAAAAGAGTGTAATCGTGCACTTCGGTTGCTGCATTCGAGACTTTCTTGGAATAATAATAACAATAAAAATAACAATAATAAAGGCTCATTAATGAGTGTATGTAATCATTATACCGATAAAGGTTTTCTTACTCAAAGAGTGATAAAGACTCAGGGAGCCAGACAGAATTTCAATTTAATTTCCCCAAGGTAAAAAATAAACAAATTAATACATATAAATAATAACGCTTCAAACATATTAATGTAATGTGTACCTATTAATTTAGAAGAATGAATATTTCAAATGATAATTCAGAGGATAAAATCAAAGTACCACAGAATAATGTTAAGACAACAAACGCAACTCTGATCTCGGGAAGGGAAGAGCATCACTCTTTTGAATTATCTACTAATATTGATGGTGATGGTAAAACTTCACCATTATTTTCCGGAGGAAGTGATGGTTCGTTATCTTTCAAAGATAGTCTTATATTTGAAGGAAAATCTTCCATTAATATAGGAGAACAATTATTTCTTCCTCAACCAATTGGTGGGAACATGCGTTCAACTTTGAAAATGAATTATAAATATTTCTTGAAGAATGGGAACGACGAGGAAGAATTATCAGAGTCGATTTCTACGGGTTCTTTATCGGATCAACATAAATATTCTGGTGATGTAGATAATTACTTCATGCAAGCAGCGAATTTTGACGAGTATGAAACAGAATACGAAGAGGAAGAAGTAATTTTGACTTCTCAGCAAGAATTATTTCAGCAATTAACGAGAGATAATGTTAAGCAACAAGGCGAAGATTTTAACAATAATTTCACTTGCGCTCGTCGCAGCTACAAAAACGATCCTAATGAGAATGACGTAATTCTACTAGAATATGAGACAGAGTGTGAAGAGGAAGAAGTAATTTTGACTTCTCAGCAAGAATTATTTCAGCAAACCATGAAAGTTAACGTTACGCAACAGCATGAATTTTTTAAAAACAATCCTAATGATAAAGATAAATATTTAAATTTTATAACGGGATTGAACAATAGTTCTTCCAATAATAATGATTGCGAGGGGTTAAATGATACTTGCGATTATTTTGAGGAAGAAGAATGGGAGACAATGTTAATAGGACAAACAGCAGCGTATTCTTTAAAGGAAAATGGGAGTAAAGAGAATGATATGCAACGAACATTTCAGATTATGAGCAATGGTAATATTTAAGAACAAAATACTTACAATTTTAACATTTGATTTCTTATTTGATAATGAACAACAACCACAATCGACTTATTATACCTTGCAAGAATTGACTGCACGTATTAATACGGACAAGCAAATTATTCTACAAATATTCACTTTTAGCGACTTGCTGATAATGAAATGCGTTAAACTTTATGTTTACAAATGTTGAGAATATCAGTGAAAGAGTGAAAAATTGAGTTATAAGTCATAGAGAATTAGAATGTGTATAAAATTCTGGGTTACTTCTTTTTTTTAAATGTATTTGTTATTAATCGCTAATTTCGATATGTCGTTTTATAAGTAAGCATGTATGTTTGTTTTAATATATATATTTTTTATTCTTAAATTTGATAATCGCGTGTATATTAGTGTTAAGTTTATCCGCATATTGATTATCATTGCATAAAGCTCGATCACCCTTGATTTTTAATTGGATGGAAATTATGGGTTTTCAACTTGGTTATATTAATAACATAATGTGATTTGTATATATATATCTCTTGTTGAAAAGTTTTTTTTTTTTTTTTTTTTTTTTTTAGCAAGATCAGCATGATTTGCATTAATTTAATTTATCAGAAATTATTCTCAAATTTTTATATTAGATCATTGATGTTGGTATTTTGAAATTTGGAAGCGTATATCCATTAAATAACTAAAAGTGAAAAAATTTAATATTAAATAGTATTAATCTTGTCAAGATAGAACTGAAATCGAAATTTCTTGAAAGTTGAGAAATTTTAAATTATATCAAAGCATACGTTGGCAAAAATTATAAAACTATTTTTTTACCGTCAATTAATTAAAGATAACCATATATGTATTGGTAATTGAATCATGCATATACTATACCATTCTTATATTGGTCAGGATGTTAGCCTACAACCTTAAATTTTCGGAAAATTCGTTTCGAAGCCTAAATTTCTCTTTTAAATCTAACAATAAATTACAAATATCAATGTATGTGCAAAAGGCCGTATATTTGGAAATTCTTATGGGACCGGAGGATAATTGCAACATTCCTTGCATATGTTGCTGGAAATGATCTTCCAGAACATGTTCGTATATTATATATCGATATCATTTTTTTATTTTACAAAAAAAAAAAGCATAAAAATTAAAATTACTGATACTATGTCAAGTATTATATAACAAATGAAGTGCAAATCAAAAATGCATTGGCAGAATGGATCGAAAAAGCTATAAAAGACGAATTTATTGAATATTATGAATATATTGGATTTAGTAATTTGGCGAAGGAAAAATACTTCCTCTGCTCGGCAATGTCGCAATAAAGGATGTTGTGAATGAGATAAGTTGAATTTATTATATAATATTATTATTTCGAGTCCATTGTTTAATAGATTTAAAGTTATATAGTTAAATTCTACGATATCACGAAAACAAAAGGCACGAAAAAACGTTATCTCGTAAATAAATATTTATTATTTAAAATTTAGTATTATGTATATTTATATTAATTTTTTTCATATACGAAACAATATCGAATAATGTATTGATTGGTTAACCAACTTTAGATTTTCTAAGCGAATAAATGAAACTTCCCAGTTCTATAAATCAAAATCTCGGGATTTCCCATATTTTAATCCTCAATGTTTCAAGCGAAAATTGCTGAAGGACATTCATTGGGAAGATGTAATTCCTAATACATCTGACGAATTCATTCAAATATATAAAGGTAAATATTAAATTATTACACGTTTTTGTAAATATGGTTTTAATATCTTTTTTTTTTAATTTCTTTATTTAGAATATTTGGATAATGATCCTGATAAAAGACCCGATATTCCTGATACCACCAGCAATGATATTGATGTGACTTTTGCAGATTCAAATTTCATGAATTCAAATAATTCGTTGAAGGTTATGAAAAGAATTCCACATTATCTACGACGATAGAATCGAATGAAAATGTTTCTCGAGAAACACAAGATCCAACTAAGGAAAGTTAATTCTGAAAATGAACATAATCTTGCTTCACTTTCGGATTATATATTTGACCAAATTGGTCATCTTGATATTTATGAAGCCTTTGTTAAAGGGGTCACAAATCTTTTTACGGAGAATAATACTACGTTAAAAGAAATGTTTAGTGGTTTGACACCATTTGTATACTTGGTTTCTTTTATTATAATGGAATGATAATCAACGAATTATTTTGTAAATCAATCGAAAAAAGATGATGCTTTATCAATGTATTTTCTTGCTAGTTCACATGAATTTGCATGGGGTTGTGAAAAAAAAAACTTGAAATAGCATTAAATTATTATGAAAAGCTGCAAATAACGGGTTATAACAAGCATATAATCTTCTAGGTGGGCGATAGTTATCATGAGATTAAGAATGATATTTTAAATCTTTTGAAAATTTAAAAAAGGCGCCGCAAAAGATATGCCTTATCCTCAATATAATTTAGGAGATTTTTATGAGAATGGAACAAATAGAGATCAAGAACAGGCTATGTTCTGGTATAAAAAAGTTGCCAAAAATGGATCTTCCGAGTCCAGATTATAGTTACGTAATGTTTATCAAATTTTGGAGAATTAGATTGGTTAATATGTATTTAACTTTTTTCGTCATATTGACAAACGCCGAGTGAGAATTTTTGGTTAAATTTTCACGCGAGTTGTTTGTATCGTTAAATAACAAGCAAAAATGGTTTATAAAAATAGTTTGTTTATTGGATCAAATATTAATTACCAAAATTTTTTTGTTCACCATTAAAGAAAATAATTTTTTGTTCACTTACACATTTTGTTTGAAAATTTTTTTTTATACAACCCCTCTATCTGATCGAAATTCTGATCAAAAACATAATTTTTTTTTTTATGGGCCATAACTCAAATTTTCGAACTCACTAACGCTTAATTTATTATAAACATAGAATATTTTAATAGAATATTAAAAGAATAGATTTAAGTTACTAATTAACTTTAATTAATTCATTAAGCTTTAAAGA